CATGAGGGGGGCAACATGGATGCATAATGAGGCAAGAAAAAGGGGGAGTGGTGAGGTGTGGAAAAAGAAATTATTGGGCATGAGGGGGGCAAAATGGATGCATAATGAGGCAGGGGGGGTGGAAGAGGAAGAGCGCACGAAGAAGTGAAAGGAGGGTACAGAAAGGATGAAGAGGTAACGACCGGGCAGAGTTTTAGAGAGGATGGAAACAAGGGGAAGACACAGAGAGGGAGAAAAGAGAAAAGGTCACCAGGAGAGAGACAAAGAACGAGAGGGGAGCGACTGAAAGAGATTTAGAGACATGTCACCATCTTTTAAAAGTTATAGCATGACAAACAAACTCCCTCTTTCTCTTCCTCGCTCGCACGCTAGACTTACAGCCAGTTGGTTGCCATGGTGGGGTGGGTTGCCCATAGCAACAGGAGGAGGAGTGGTGCCGTGAGATTGACAGTGAAGACAGTTGGCATCAGACTGTCCGTCTGTCTGACTGTCTGTTTCTGTGTCTGTGTGTCTGTCTGTCTGTCTGTCTGTCTGTCTGTCTGTCTGTCTGTCTGTCTGTCTGTCTGTCTGTCTGTCTGTCTCTGTCTGTCTGTCTGTCTGTCTGTCTGTCTGTCTGTCTGTCTGTTTCTGTGTCTGTCTGTCTGTCTGTCTGTCTGTCTGTCTGTCTGTCTGTCTGTCTGTCTGTGTCTGTCTGTCTGTCCGTCTATCTGTCTGTGTGTTGCTTTATGTTTCTCCCACAGAGTTTGGGGATGATCCCCGCATATCTGTTGAAATGAAAAATTCACAGGTTAGAGACAAAATTCAAAAGTTCATCATCCTATTTTTCCTTTTCAATCATCGAAAATTGTATTACTAATATTTTATTTCTAAACTTTGTGATCATGATTCTGCAGCTTTACAACAGAACACACATTTTATTTATTTACTTTTGCAAAAGTAGCTGATTCTTACCAGTTCATAGTCCTGTGGTATCCAGTTATCCTACTTTTGTTCTTAACAAGTTGATCAAATTGAAACTTAATCCCAATTTCAATCAGTAAAAGTTGTTCATCAGTTTCTTCCCTTGCACTGGCGCTGACAGCAAAAGCATGCTCACAGGAATGTTTGACAAACTGCAAGCATCCTTTAGACGCAAAAATAAGTCCACATGTCCAATTTAATTGAACATATCAGTAGAAACTTCAGCAGAAACCAAAAAAATCTGAGAGTGCTAGTAAAAGTCAATTTTTACAAAAACATTGTGTCAGCAAGTATTGAGTTTTGTCTCCAGAAAACAAATGTGTCCACTCCACAGGTTGAAACAGCAGGAATAAGTGAGTCAGGGAGATGGGAGTGATGGGTTATAAAGGAGGTAGAGAATGAGGGTGGGAGAGAGAGGACAGGCGTCATGCTGAGGGAGGGGAGGGGGACGCTTTGGGTGGGATAATAGTTGCACTGCGTAAGTATTAAGAGTGTAATATGCTTTCTATTGTATTGAGGTTGGCATGAGACGTACAAATCTGACTCTGCACTTTAGATAATGCACTTTGAATGATTATCACAAAGATATGTGTGTCTTTGTCCCATGTGTTTTCAATCCCTGCATGGGGTGCATTTGCTGCTTAGAAACATTTTATGAGAAGACAAACTAAAGCCTTTTGTTTCCCCTTTAGAAAAAACTTTGCAGGAATATTGATCCGCTAGAAGTCCCTGTAAGAAATCCTCACACCAGGAACTATGACACAGCATTTCTGTTTCCACGTATGTGTACATGCATGGAAAAAGTGTCTCACCTAATGTTTAATTTTCCCAAACTTTGTTGCTCATTTTACGAGTCCCCCCCGACCTCCCCTTCCTCTATCTCCCCCGCATTTGCCCTCTCGTTCTCCCTCTCTCCCACTCCCTATATTGTCTCAGAAGAAGGGGTGACATTTAGACAAGGGGAAGAAAATACACTGCTGACAAATATTGGAACTGAGGCAAATAAATCACCAGATAGGAGGGGAAAGAGGGCATAGAGAGAAAGTGGATGGGTGTTACACCGAGGTTAGGGAAAAGCAGTAAAGAATAACAAAGCAGGTTTGTGACACATAAACTCAGGAAAAAAATTACATTATGTTCATGGATTTGTTTAGTAGTTAAGAAGGGAACCTGAAGCGCTCTAAACAATGTGTTATCCATAACACATTGAATAATATGGCATTACATTTAGACTATATAAGTGCACTTGTTTTGCAGTTTATTTCATAGTTTCCCCTCATTTTGTTTCTATATATTTAGCCAGTGATCTAACATTAAAAGAATAAGAATATAAGAATAGTATCCATATATATCGAGAAAGGACACGTCACATTGTTATCATTTTAAATCTGTTGCTTAACACTGTCCTTTGCTACTGCTCGACTTTAGATTTTGTAAAAACGTGTGTTTCTTTTAACTGTAAGAGTTACAAGAGTACTGAAGGTCTTTTATGACACAAACAGATATTTGTGAGGAGTGATCAAACTTAAACTATTGGCTATATCTATCAAATTAATATATTGAATCCACTACGCTTAGCCTTGCGCTACTATGCTAGTTTTGCTACTCTGCTAAATTATGCTAGTTAGCTTTTAGATAGCTAGCTAGTTTATATGGCTTTTTTTCTCCGTTATTTGTAATGTTCAGCTTCTGCGTCTCAGTATGGTATATCATAACCCAGATAGCTAAGGATAGTTAAGATAAACAACATTTAAATCATAATGATAAAGGAGACAAAATGGGAAAAAGCTTTAGCACAAGTGCTAGCCGTTCCTGTCCTACCGCTAAGATTTTTGGTGTACAACTGTTGCGCATACTGTGTTTGTTTTGTTCTGTAATATCTATGATTTTATTATCTGGATATTTAGTTGTAAGTTGGCTGATTTGGATGGGGGCACTTTATTTTATAAAAAAAACAGAAGCTATATTGCGAATTAATTAGCAATTGTTTGATGTATTGCAAGTTCAAAGATATCTCTTTATTCCCAGAGGGCATTAAAGTAAAAAAAGTTGTGCCACCGTCTTGTCGCACCTGATGAAACGTAATTTACTGCCTGTAAGGCCTCCTTTGTTGAGTCAGTTGAGACAGTGCGACACTGGAACGAAAACATTTGCAAACTTTGCTGTGGTCTCCGTCCAGGATTTGGTGGCCCGTTTTACCTGAACCCTCTGACACCCAGTTCCTGAGTAACTGATCACCCCATCCATCACGGACACCACCACGATTAAAGGGTAGAAGAATGATAGAGAGAAAGTGAGGTGGGGGTTGGGTGTGGAGGGGTCTCCCCCCCAGAGGACAGTAATCTTTGAGCGAGAGGCAGGATGAATTAAAGTCCACCAGTTGAAGCTGTATTAGTAACAGGTTTATGTGTTCCGTTACGAATGCTAATAACCTGTAAAAAAAAATGCAATCACGAATCAGATAACAATACCAAAGTAATGTAGTCGGATCACTTGATGTGACGTTGTATCAAATGCATCGCAAAAAACATGTGCAGATACATTTCATATATCAGGCAAAAACCATTTTTGTATACTATAAGTTATTTTCATAATTTGTTTGTATCTACTTACTGCATACAACAATTAGATATTAAAAAAGGCAAAGAATGAATAAAGTAGCTCTTAATGAAAACCAATAAACACATTCAGGAAATATGCCTACTGTACCGTGTTGGACTTCAAAATTGTATAAATTACAAATCATGTATCTGTAAATGTTTCTTCAAATGATATGTTGATTCCTTTGAAAGTAAAGAGGACATACTATTCAAATTGTTCAGGTTTATATCAGTATGTAGTGTCTCTACTTTAAAGAGTTCTCTCCTGCTGATGTTCAGGTGTATATTATGTCTCTACTTTAAAGAGTTCTCTCCTGCTGATGTTCAGGTGTATATCAGTATGTAGTGTCTCTACTTTAAAGAGTTCTCTCCTGCTGATGTTCAGGTGTATATCAGTATTAAAGAGTCCTCTCCTGCTGATGTTCAGGTGTATATCAGTATGTAGTGTCTCTACTTTAAAGAGTTCTCTCCTGCTGATGTTCAGGTGTATATGTAGTGTCTCTACTTTAAAGAGTACTCTCCTGCTGATGTTCAGGTGTATATCAGTATGTAGTGTCTCTACTTTAAAGAGTCCTCTCCTGCTGATGTTCAGGTGTATATCAGTATGTAGTGTCTCTACTTTAAAGAGTTCTCTCCTGCTGATGTTCAGGAGTATATGTAGTGTCTCTACTTTAAAGAGTTCTCTCCTGCTGATGTTCAGGTGTATATCAGTATGTAGTGTCTCTACTTTAAAGAGTTCTCTCCTGCTGATGTTCAGGTGTATATCAGTATGTAGTGTCTCTACTTTAAAGAGTCCTCTCCTGCTGATGTTCAGGTGTATATCAGTATGTAGTGTCTCGACTGCAGTACCTCTTTTCACCCTCTGTCTGAAACCAGAGCCCAGTCTGCTCTGATTGGTTAGCTGGCCGGCTCTGGTCAACCGCTTAGAGATGTCCCGCCCCTTAGTCACATGCAATGTGTTGGAGCACTAGCCAATTTTAGCCTTTGCAGACCATTTACATGCACAAAAACGTATATAACTACAGGAAAGGGAAAACCCCAAAAGCAGATTAGAGGGCCTCTTTAATTGAAGTGGAATTAAACAGTTCCCTCCTTTCACAGTTACTCCCCTATGTCTGGATTGTATCCTCTCATACTGCGCAGTTGGTGCCCCACCCCCCCACCCCCCCCAATCCCCCCCCCCCCTGTCCCCCCGCCCCCCCCTGTGGTGTTTTTTTGCTTTCCCTTAATGTCGGATGTTTTTTTTTTATTTCGCAAATGTATATCCAGAACGAGCGAGGAATTTTGTCTTTTTGCCTCACAGATGACGAGAACCCCAACACACAAAACACAGAAAGCGTAATTCATGCTGTTTTGTGGGCTGCTGACTTTGTAGGGGTGTTCTTTTGGAGCCCATATTCAAGAGTGCTCGGTGGTCCCATGACACAGTAGGACCCCATAATGAGGCAAGGCAGCCAGGATAGTGATCCATTGGCAGCTGGTCGGATGATGAGGAACCAGTGGAGCTGCTGGAGCCGCGATGGGATCGCATCGACGGCCCAGACATCATGCGGCCACAGTCATTAGCAGATTAAAGGAGCTTATGTTCATTCTTCATGGTTGCGTGCTATAAAAATTAAGACATTTGTAAAACGACGACAACACACATAAAGTAAAAGAGACGGNATCAGATTTTGGCCACTTTATGATGTCATAACGATGTGTTGTCTTGTGTAACCATTAGCCAATCACCAACCAAGGTAACCCCCCCCCCCCTACCTTATCACCTGAACCTCCTCCTAGAGCACCATTGAGTTATTTTTAACCAAATCTCTCTCAGAGGGGCGTGGGGAGGGGTTCCTTATTTTCATCTAAAGTAACAGACAGAGAATCAGCACTTTGGAAACAGGGCTGAAACAGAGGGGATTAAGGGTAATGCTGCAATGATCTGTTTGGTGTTTCAGCCAATCAGAGACATGTTCTGTATATATCTGAGACCTATAATATATTGATGAAAAACAGAATAATAGGGGACCTTTAAAATCACAATACATCAACAGCATTTGATTTGATTTGATCACATGTGTTCTTCTGGTTGCAGGGACTCGTGAGGCGGCCTTTGTCCACGCCCTGTCCTCTGCAGCCGTGGCGGTCGCGGTGACGAGAGCCTGTACCCGGGGGGAGCTGGACCGCTGCGGCTGCGACAGGAAGGTCAGGGGGGTCAGCCCCGAAGGTGAGCTGGACCCCTTTGCATGATAATGTGACATAATGTGGGAGGCTGTGTGGCGCAGTGGACTGTGCAGGTTCAAACCCCACTGCAGTCTGCATGTGGTTGTGTCCCTGGGCAAGACACTTCACCCCAAATTGCTCTTGTGGGGATTGCCCACAGTATTGAGTCGCTTTGGATAAAAGCGTCTAACAAGTGACATGTAATGTAACTCCGTACTGTCTGACACACGTAGCAAAAAAAATGCTGCTGATTTCGATGGGTTAAACTTTGGAAAGTGTAGTGCTAATGTCCACATGCCGGACAGAGAGAGCAGATATTTTCCTATCAGCTGCTTCTGTGTGATCCAGTGTGTCTTTTTGAGCTTTAAATTCAAATGTGCGGTTGTTTCATGAAGGAATACAATGATATTACTGATTTTGGAGCGATACTGACTCAAATAGCTTGATCAGCTAATAAAATCTATGTTTATATATGTTAAATGCACATTATGCTGCAGTTTTATAACCAGTTTTGACCTTTTTTTTTATTTTATTACTTTTTCAAGGTAATTAATTAGCGGGTTTATGAGTTTATATTTTCTTAATTTGTTACATTTATTGTGAAGTTAGGAAAGCAATTTTTAAGTTAAGTCTAATGTTGCCTTGGGAAAAGATCCAATTAACTTTTAACCAGGCATATGGCTTATTATTTAAACATTGGCATGGGATCAGTACTCAATTTGGGCCAATAACAAAAGCCCAGGTATAAGGTTGAAAAAGGTTGGATGTGTTAATCTCTAGCTTTAAGGGTGCACATATCCAAATACTCTGTCCCACCTCAGGCTTCCAGTGGTCGGGCTGCAGTGACAACCTGTCCTACGGTGTGGCTTTCTCCCAAACATTTGTGGATGAACCAGAACGAGCCAAAGGGGTGTCAGCGGGGCGACCACTCATGAACCTCCACAACAACGAGGCAGGCAGAAAGGTTGGCGCTCACACCTCTTTGACTACATCTCAGTTACTTTCCGAGACGATTTCATCCGTGAGACTTGATCTTCTCTGCTTTTATTCCCCATCCTCTCGTCCTCAGGCCATCCTTCACAACATGCAGGTGGAGTGTAAGTGTCATGGCGTCTCCGGCTCCTGTGAGTTGAGGACCTGCTGGAAGGTGATGCCTCCTTTCAGGCGCGTCGGTGTGGTGCTCAAGGAACGCTTTGATGGAGCCACAGAGGTATCAGACTACATGTTTTAAGCTGGTAACCACATGTATAAGTCACACGAGTTGAAGTATCAAAGTTCCCAGTCTGTAACTCTCCACAAGAATAGAACAAAATAAAATACTTTTTGCGTGTGAAAGGTAGACACTTGGCATATTAAAGAGGATACATTAAAACCATAAACAATAGAACACAATACCCCATAGGAGCCAAAAGAGCCCAATGTAAATAGATATGAAATGCTGTCTGCTGAGGTAGCAATCTAGCTTTTTTTATGGATGAAGATATCTTATGGCAACAGTCCCAATAAATGTCTAATGCAAGTTTTCTTTGCACAGGGGACGCTATACCTTTTCCCTAAAGGCAGTACATGGAAGTGGTATTTGAAGCCATGGCTGTAGTTGTCTAATCTTGCCATCCTCACCCTCTTCTCTTTAGGTCCGCCTGACTCGTATAGGATCCAGAACGGCCCTCCTCCCCCGCGACCCGCAAGTCAAACCCCCCGCTGCCAGAGACCTCCTGTACCTCACCCCCTCTCCTGATTTCTGCCACCTCGACCCCGACAACGGTATCCCTGGCACTGCTGGCAGGAGGTGTAACGGTAAGATCAACGTGAAGGGGAAACAACCAGAGATGGCAAGCGTACACACATCCTTTACTCCAGTAGAAGTACAGATACTCGTGTTTAAAAATACTCTGGTGAAAGTAGAAGTACTGACTAAACTTCTTTACTCAAGTAAAAGTAAAGAGGCTTTGAAATGTACTTCAGTAAAAAGTACCCATAACTAGCAGCTGTTTTAAAGAGTACCTGACCTCCCTTTATATTAATAGAACAATAATGTCATTGTTAGCTAATGAATGTTTCCATGGTGACCAACGGCAACATGACAACGTTTTCATTGGTCCCTCTTCTTTAGAGAAGACCAGGAAATGATGGATACACGGATCGTGTTCAAATCAATAGGCACGCAATGACTCTAAATAATAATGATCACGCCACCAAACACACATTCAAACTAAAGGAACCAGCCTGTTTGGAAAATGAGAGAAGTAGAAAGTACAGGTATTTGAGTTCAACATGTAAGAAGTAGAAAGTACAGGTATTTGAGTTCAACATGTAAGAAGTAGAAAGTACAGGTATTTGAGTTCAACATGTAAGAAGTAGAAAGTACAGGTATTTGAGTTCAACATGTAAGAAGTAGAAAGTACAGGTATTTGAGTTCAACATGTAAGAAGTAGAAAGTACAGGTATTTGAGTTCAACATGTAAGAAGTAGAAAGTACAGGTATTTGGGCTCAAAATGTAAGAAGTCAAAGTAAAAAGTCATCAGAAAAATAAGTAGTGGAGTAAAGTACTGATACCAGAAATATTTATTTAAAGGTGGGGTGGGTAATTTTGGGGAAACCAGCTCGAGTGCGCTAGAATTTGAAAATACAC